TCTATAATTACATGTTCCTACATTGGGAAGCCACGCCAGGCGAGGCGGGCGCGCGCTAGCGTTTACAATTAGGGTACCTTTTTGGGGATCCCCATAATAAGGATTTTAATATATTGAGGTCTATATTGGGGTCCCCTCATTTTGGGAAACTACTATATATGGGGTATCCAGCTTACAGAGCCGAAGCTTTACAAATCTTGTGGTTGCGCCCAATCGCAGGTTCCTGTTCAGGTCTTTAGGGTTTTAGGTTTAGGGGTCCAAGTACCCAAATTTTAGGGCTTTAGGCACCAAAACCAATCAGATTATGGTATTGGGAACCAAAACCCATCTTTTGGGTACTTGGATCATCTAGGAGCATATTCGGCTACAAATACATGTGTATGTACACAGACCAACCTTACATAGTATATGTCTAACTGCACATGTATATGTACGCGGCATACGTATATGTGCATTTGTATACTTATGTATTTCTGTATGCATTGTAATGTTAACATATGTGAAAATGTAGTGATATGAATGTATAACCACAGATACACACACTGACTTGTTCTTCGAACGGCTTCGGGAATTGACATTCGCAAACTGAACTCGAACATGCGTGCTACACCAGATCCTACACATTAACTGTGTACCCACATCCAGGCTCAAGGATGTACGCTTCCAGGTTCCGGGCTTTACGGTAGCCAGGTGCGCATGCGACTAAACCCTAAACCTAAACCCCAGATGTGCAAGTTTGCCCGACATAGATTCTCAACATGAGCGCAATATAACGACCGGCAGGATCAGGGTGTAGGATTTTTTAGGATTTAGGGTTTAGGGTTTCGGATTTAGGGTTTACATCATGGGGGAGCCCAACATCCCAAATCCAAGGACCAACATCCCAACAATTTCTAAGCTTTTGCAGGGAATGAGCGGATGGATTTCCCAAGTAGTGCCCATAGCCACCTGTGGTTTAGGGGTTGGAGTTTGGGGTTTGGGGTTTTAGGATAGCCGCTATATGACCTCGATGATAAATTGATTTGCATTCTTTTTCCTTACTTCAACCCTAGACCCTAAGCCCTAACCCTCAACCGCCTGTCCACCTCCAAACTAAAAACGATCGGAAAGATTTTGAGTTGCAGCTGAGTTTCCACCTTGGGAACTTCAATGTTAGCCAAGGTGCTGCACTGATGTGTTCGAGAGACCTTACGGAGCCAGGTGAATGAAAGGCTTGGTATTAGGTTCAGGGTTTAGCGTCTAGGGTCCAAGGTTTGTTGTCTAGGGTTGGAGATTCGGGATTTGGGGTCTGGCGTTTAGTGTTCAGGGCATGGGGTCCAAGTACTCAAATGGCATGAGCTTTGTTTGGGGTAAGCCCTGTGGCCACACAACCAAATCGTATCTCAAGTATGCAACCACTCAACATTTGATATACAATCTAGCTTGGATACTGCCCCCACCCAGTAACAGTCTATATTAGGGGTCCTATTAAGGGCGATATATAACCATAGCATAACTGCTATCCAACTGTTACTGAGTGGGGGCAGTATCCAAAATTTAGGTACTTGGACCGTCCGGGCCTAAGGTCTTTGGAACGAGGCTTTCTGGCTATTGAGCGGGCCAGCACAAGGCCCTTTGTTGATGCTGGCTTTTGCTAGTGGTAGGTGTGAGGCATGAACCCTAAACCCTACAGGATAATTATCCCTATGCCCTGTGCGCCTCCCAGAATATGGACACACGGACGTCATGTCTGACTGTTTGGAATATTGTTCGAAACAACCTCTGCACAAGCTCTAGTCACTAGAGTCTATAAACAATCTCTGAAAAGAAAGCACATGTAGCCTGACTTGGATTGATGTAGCGGCAGCAGAACGTCAGTCAACGGTACTCATTGCCCTCAGTGAGTTGTTTTGAAAGATGTAGGGTCAAGAGCCGCAAGAGGTGTATCCCTGGTGCTACTATGCCATACTATAGTTATAACCCCGTGTATAGACCCTAACCTAATTATTGGGCACATGGACCCTTAGGGTAAATATCCTCTATGGGTCCAAAACTCTAAGCCTAAACCCAAACCCTAAACCGCATCCCAACATGATCCCCATAGGCTTTCAACCCTGGGACTCTGCCCGACGGCGAACATTGGGCTACTACAGGGATCCACAAGACATATTACAGGGGACAACCCTCCACCCTAAAATGTATTGCGATGGAGCCACAAGAGCGCCCTTGTCCTCCGGCTCAACGATAGGGTTCTCGTTGAAGCAATTCATGAACCTGCGTAGGAAATCATATGCGCTAGGGCATACTACGCAACAGTAGCGTTGTTTGTCACAATCACCCTGGGATGCACTAACCAAATTGTCATAGTTTTCTATACATTCTCAAGCCTACCAAAAGGGTCCCCCAGTACTTGCTCAGCATGTACTTGCCCAAAAAACTGTACTACAACTACCTTTATGACCCAAATCCAAAGTTCCTGGCTGTTGGGTACTTGAATCCTCTGGGGTACACTACAAACAGTCCCCTTCCCGGGTAGCCGACAACCCAAACGTCATGCTTCCGAGCATGCACGTGTACGAATGACCGACAGTAGTAGAACAGTGTATGGTCATGGGGCTGGGCTAGAGTCTACTAGATTCAAGGCAGAAGGGCAGAATGCAACTGCCAAGCTTGATTTTCCAAATTGGTGCCAAACAAAGGTCTTACATGTCTTTCTTGGGTTTGGATCTACTGCAATATCATAGTCAACTTGGACGAGGGAAAGTACTTCTTGTGCATGTGCGCATGTCGGTTCGGGTTTCGGGTCGATATGGAGTCTCCGAAGATCAAGGGGTGTGAGACATCTTTATATCGGTCTTCGTCTCGGATGAGTATGAGAATTTTGGTGCCCGCAACCCGAAAATGAGGACACTCCTGTGGTCAAATGATGGCGGGGTGCAGGTTGCCAAAAACCCCTTATCATCATACTGAAGAACATGTGAGCCCTAGTCTAAACTCCAAGTATGCCCCTTGATAACCCGTATAGCACTCCCCTAAGTCCCCTATATAACGCCTTTTAAGGAGTTTAGACCCTAAGCCCTATATAACCCCCTTGAAGGAGTTTAGACCCTAACCTAAACCCTATGTAACCCCCTTTCAGGACTTTTGACCCTAAACTACAGAACCCCCTGCAAGGAGTTTAGACCCTGAACCCTAAACCCTACATAACCTTCTTTGAGCAGTCTAGACCCTTAACCCTATAGCCTATATAACCCCCCTTAAGCAGTTCAGACCCTAAACCCTGTAACCCCCTTTAAGGAGTTTAGACCCTAAACCCTAAACCCTATAGAATCCCCTTTTAAGGGAGTTTAGACCCTAAACCCCGTAACCCTATGGAATCCCCTTCAAGCAGATTAGACCCTAAACCCCGTAGCCCTATAACCCTAAACCCGTATATCCCTAAACGCTGAACCCTCTAACCTCCTTTGAGGAGTTTACACCCTAAATCCTCAACCCTATGGAATCCCCTTTAAGGAGTTTAGACCCTAAACCCTGTAACCCTATAATAACCCTCAACCCTTATATCCCTAAACGCTAAACCCTATAACCCCCTTTAAGGAGTTTAGACCTTGAATGCTGAACCCTATAGAATCCCCTTTAAGGAGTTTAGACCCTAAACCCTAAACCCTATGGAATCCCTTTAAGGAGTTTAGACCCTAAACCCTGTAACCCCCTATAAGGAGTTCAGACCCTAAACCCTAAACCTTATGGAATCCTCTTTAAGGAGTTTAGACCCTAAACCCTGTAACCCTATAACCCTAAACCCTTATATCCCTAGACGCTCAACCCTATAACCCCCTTTAAGGAGT